TCAGACAGCCAAGTAACTCTGAAATGACCAATCTGCTTTCTCTTCTTTGATTCTCCATTCTAAGGTCCCTCTCTGTCTATAAAATCAACCTCTTCTGCTCGGCTCATTGGAACACTTACTCTATTTTATGGAATGAAGTGTTATAGAATCATAAATAAAGCCAATTAAGATCTTTAAACTAAATTGCTGTAATCCTGTCTTTTGACAGTAAAATATACTATTGCCTTAAACATGCACAAATACACACACACGTATAAGCATATACATATACATATATACACATACATACACACTCATAGAGCCACACGGCCAGAGAAAATAAAAAGCATATCCATAAAAACCCAGGGTCAAGATTTCATACAATATCAATATAATACTGTGGATGGAAAAAATCCAAATTCTGAAATATTTGAAAGAGGTTTATTCTGAGCCAAATTTGAGGACCATGGCCCGGAGCCACTCCCAAGAAGCCTTGAGCAAGTAGACTCACTGTGGCTGGGATACAGTTTGATTTTATATATTTCAGAGAGACAGGGGTTACAAGTAAAGTCATAAATCAATACATCGGAGGCATACATTGGTTTGGCACAAAAAGGTGGGACATTTTGAAGGGGGCGGGGCCTATAGGTGAGTTTAAAGATTCTTTGGCTGACAATTGGCTGAGAGTGCTAGGCTTTATCTAAAAGACCAGAAAGGAAAAGCTTAATTTAAGATAAAGGTGTGAGCACTCTGGGAGGTCCAGACAGGAGAATCTTTCAAGTTAAGATAAGGATCTGCTAGGATGCTTGAGTTAAGATGTGGGGGCTTTCTATCTTTTAGGTGTGCTAATGTAATATCTGAATCAGGTTGGGAAGAAAACCACACTATATTTGGTTAACAAAATCTGCTTAGTGGGATTTTGCCATTTGTGAGCGTGACTCATCTGGCCCCCTTAGGAAGGAATTTTGAAGAAAAGAAAAAGATCAGAGTTCAGACCTCAATATAAAAAGGAGACATCAAATGACATGTGCTAACTGTGCTAAAGTATTTAAGAGAAACATGTACAAATTTAAATTTTTATTTTTTTGAGACAGAGTCTCACTCTGTTGCTCGAGCTAGAGTGCTGTGGCTTCAGCCTAGCTCACAGCAACCTCAAACTCCTGGGCTCAAGCAATCCTCCCACCTCAGTCTCCCAGAGTGCTAGGATTACAGGCGTAAGCCAACACACCTGACCTAAAAATTCCATAAATCAATTGGGATACAGATGCTAAGTTAAGGTCAATTACTTTAAGTTACATATAGTACTAAATAATTTTCAAGCAGGATGCATCTGTATTTCCAAATGCATTTTTACTTCAATAAAGCAAAGTCTTTACGGAATATTACCCCAGCAATTCTTACCTGCTGTTAAAAAAAACAAACAACTAGAAAATCTTGCCTAGGTAAGAATTATTTTGATAACAAATTTCAAATGTTAATTTTGTGATTTTTAAAATTTTTTTGTACTGCTGATCTGAACCCATGGCTTTTCAAAATCAATTTTCAACGTTTTCCATATGTTGAACAAGCTTTCGGAACTGGTATTTTCAGAGACCACATTTTCTTTGTTATTAAATCAAGAAAGTCCTCAAGGCCGGGAGCGGTGGCTCACGCCTGTAATCCTAGCTCTCTGGGAGGCCAAGGCGGGTGGATCGTTTGAGCTCAGGAGTTCGAAACCAGCCTGAGCAAGAACGAGACCCCGTCTCTACTAAAAAATTAGAAAGAAATTAATTGGACAACTAAAACTATATAGAAAAAATTAGCCGGGCATGGTGGCGCATGCCTGTAGTCCCAGCTACTCAGGAGGCTGAGGCAGGAGGATCGCTTGAGCCCAGAAGTTTGAGGTTGCTGTGAGCTAGGCTGACGCCACGGCACTCACTCTAGCCCGGGCAACACAGTGAGACTCTGTCTCAAAAAAAAAAAAAAAAAAAGAAACAAAGTCCTCTAACACATTCTAACATCCACAAAAGCAAAAATATTATTTCCAGGAAGAAAAGAGAAGTCTGAAATCAAGAGGAAAAGGTGATAGAGAATAAAAGAAAGGAATAGTTAGATAATTCTTATTAAAGAAGGAAAAAAGGAAGAAAGAAACAGACAAATAATATACTAGTAGACAAAGAGACTAGTAGACAGTCATTAAAAAATAAAAAATATAGTAAAATTTCAAAGAGAAATATGGCAGGAAAAGTCTATAAAGACACTGGAGTGGAGCTTTACTACTTCTAATTTCAGTCATTTTAATGTTTCAAAATGAAAAACCATTTCAAAAAATATTTGTCACTGATATCATAAATAATGACCCACATAAACAAATGTCCCACAAGGAGGGCCCAAAAAATTATTATTTGAAAGAATAAACTAATGAGGAATCCAAAATTCATATGAAACCAATCCATAGAAGTGACATTCAAACTTTCTCATCATGAACAGTAGCTCTAAAAAAAAATTAGGCATCACATTTGAAAAGTCTAAGAGGAGAAGGCAAGTCATAGAATTAGAGAAAATATTTGCAAATCATATATCTGATAAAGGATTAATATCCAGAATATATAAAGAGCTCCTAAAACTAAACAAACAAAACCATTTGAAAATGGGCAAAGGACTTGAATAATTTCTCCAAAGAAGACACACAAATAGCCAATAAGCACATGAAAAGATGCTCAACATCACTAACCATTAGGAAAATGCAAATCAAAACCACAACTGACACCCATTAGAATAGCCATCACACACACACACACACACACACACACACACACACACACACAAAAATATAAAATAAAAATGTTGGAAAAGATGTGGAAAAGTTGGGATCCTTGTACACTGTTGACAGGAATATAAAATGGTACAGTCATTGTGGAAAATAGTATGGTGGTTCCTGAAAAAATTAAAAATACAGGTCAGGTGCAGTGGCTCATGTCCATAATCCCAGTACTTTGGGAGGCCAAAGCGAGAGGTTCATTTGTGGCCAGAGGCTCATTTGAGGCCAAGAGTCTGAGATCAGCCTGAGTAACATAGTGAGACCCTATCTCTACAAAAAACAAAAGAATTAGCCGGGCATAGTGGCCCACTCCTGTAATCCCAGTTACTTGGGAGGCTGAGGCAGGAGGATCACTTGAGCCCAGGTGCTGGAAACTGCAGTGAGCTGTGACTGTACCACAGCCTGGGCAGCAGAGCAAGACCCTGTCTCTTAAGAAAAAAAAATTTAAATGGAATTACCATATGAGCTGGCAATTCTACTTGTAGGTATATACCCAAAAAGATCTGAAAGCAGGCCAGACACAGTAGCTCACACTTGTAATCCTAGCACTCTGAGAGACTGAAGCAGAAAGACTGCTTGAGGCCAGGAGTTCAAAACCAGCCTGAGCAAGAGCGAGACTCTGTCTCCACAAAACAAAAAAAAAACAGAAAAATGAGCCAGGCATGGTGGTATACATGCCTGCAGTCCCCACCATTCAGGAGGCTGAGGCAGAAGGACTCTTAAGCCTAGAAGTTGGAGATTGCAGTGAGCTACGATGACACCACTGCACTCTAGCCCGGGCAACAGAGCAAGAGGCCCTGTCCCAAAAAAAAAAAAACAAAACTGAAAGCAGAGTCTCAAAGAGATTATTTGTACACCCACATTCACAGTAGTACTATTCACAGTACCTAAAATAGGAAAGCAACCCCAAGAGCCCATTGATGAATGAAGGGATAAACAAAATGTGGTATGTGCATACAATGAAATATTATTCAGCCTTAAAAAGGAAATTCTGACATTTGCTAAAAAACAGATCAACCTTGTGGACATTATGATAAGTGAAATACGCTAGTCACCTAAAAGGCAAATACTATCTGATTCCACTTAGGTAACGTTGATTTAGAGTATTCAAAATCATAGAGACAAAATGTAGAATAGTGGCTGCCAGAGGCTGGAGGGAGGAGGAATGTAGAATTATTGTTTAATGGGTATAGTTTGTTTTACAAGATGAAAATAGTTATGAAGACAGATGGTGGTGATGGCTGCACAATATGAATATATTTATTACCACAGAACTGTATACTTATGAATGGTTAAGATGGTATATTTCATGCTATGTCCATTTTACCACAATGAAAATTAGAAACAAACAAGTCTCAGAACAAACATAGACTCAAGAGTACATTAGTCAATATCCAACTAGGAATTGAAAGCAACTCAGTGTATTTAAAATAGGGAATTTAACGAAGACAACTGGTTGCACAAGTGATGGAAGAGCTGAGATGCCAAGTAAGGAACTGTGAGGCAACCTATCCTTTAGTAACAGCAGGAAGGCATTAGCAGCCCTAGGCTAGGGCGACAAAGAGAGGAGTACAGGCTGGAGGTCACCCGACAGAAACTGGAATGCCAATGGGGTTGCCCAGGGGAAGCTAGAACCATGGAAAAAATGCAGCTGCTGACGGAAAGAGGGAGGGAATAATATGCTTCCCTTTACCCCAGTCAATGTCTCAACATTGACTTGCAAACTCAGCCAGAAAACAAGAGGAGTGGTAGCCAGGAAAACACAAAGGGCAGCTGCTTTGTGAGAGAGAGCAAGAAAAGAGCAATGAACTATACCTGAGAACAAACAGACGTTGGACTAACATAAATACTGTTTAGAAAAAAATAACTTTCAAGCCTAGAAAGTTCAACACTAATGATTATTTTGCAGTTATAAATCTTATACGAATGACAATCTTGAATTAATAACCTTTCTAAGAAAATTTTAACCCACTTTAACTTAAGTTTAAGGTTACACATTGTGTTATACTTACTGTAAGACTTGTTGTACAATATAATATTAGCTCTAAAGACGTTTCTGTAGTGTGGTTATGTTACTTTTTAAAATAAAAATGAATTTTGAAAACTATTATACAAAGTTACTATAAGAGAAAGTAATCTGACTAAAGTAATGATTCTCTTTTTAGAATCAGGTCAACCCCAAACATTTAATTCACATGTCCCAAAATAGTTAAAACCATACCATTTAAATCTGCATTTTCAAATCTGACCCAGACTATTTTCTCCTTTTCTTCTGTTAGAGGTGTTCCACTGTAAGCCTGCATAGTAAACAGAAATGTTTGAATAAAAATATTTCACAGCTCTAACACTACTGATGTTTCAAAACAGAGTGTCTTAAATAACGCCAACACTATACCCCTCCAACTTCACCAACCCTGTATCTTGTTTAACTAGCACATTTTGGAACATTATTACTCCCGTTGAATTATCTAGGAACCCAATAACCTTGGTCAAAAAAGAATTTTTAAACTCTTAAAAAATTACATAAACCTAAGATACAATAATCAGAATCTATTATGAAGCATCACTCTAATTCAAAGGAACACAAAAAACTAAACCAACCCTCTATAATGGTCAACAAATAAGGGAGCCTAAAAAATAAACAAAACCACCACCCTTAACTATTAAGTTCCCAGGTGTTTGACAATAGGCAGTTACACTCTACCTACACTTTTCAAAGAGTATGACTGCACTTTTTCAGTTTCTTATCCGGCTTCCAGACCAAACCTATCAGCTAATTCCTGGAAGCCTGCAAGGGTCACAAAGATAAGCATTAATGTTCGTGAATTGTCAACAGTATTCAAAACGAGGCATCTCTCCATAAAGGACGTTTTTGTTTAAAACTTTTTAAAAGATTGTATATACTTAGAAGTATTTAGACTATTAACAAAGCAGCTGCAACTTTTTTTGGAATTATAAAGTTGTATTCAGTTTGCAGAACCATTATTTAATATAAGCTGTATCAAAATCACACAAAATCGACCATTTCACATATACTTTGTTATATACAACCTGCTATAAATTTCCATGTCAATTTACAGCACCCATACTGTGTCACACAAAGTTAATGGCTACTGAAAATACCACTAAGACAGGGTTATCTTAATACTAGGTTTACTATTAAAAAAATCACTTTACATATGATTTAAATTATCTATTTTAAAAAAAGTAAGATGCGTATGGGGCAATTAATTTCTTTGGAGAAGAGGAAAACCTGCGCTGCACTGGAACAAACTAATTTCTCAACTTTATCCTCAGACACTTCATTCTTATCTTCCTTCTTCCTCAGTCTTTCTCTTTTCATCCTAGAAAAATTCCATTTTTTTAATTTTTATTTTTTATTTTTTGTAGAGATGGGGCTCTATGTTGCCCAGGCTAGTCTTGAACTTCTGCCTCAAACGACCCTTCTGCCCTGGCCTCCCAAAGCAGAATTACAGGCATGAAACACCGTAAGTGGCTCCCCTAAAACTCCCTTTATTAAAAATAAACTCTTTTAGGCCAGGCACGGTGGCTCACGCCTGTAATCCTAGCACTCTGGGAGACCGAGGCAGGAGGATAGCTCAAGGTTAGGAGTTTGAGACCAGCCTGAGCAAGAGCGAGACCCTGTCTCTACTAAAAATAGAAAGAAATTAGCTGGACAACTAAAAATATATATAGA